TTTGGCGGTCGAACGACCCTTTCACAGGGGTCGCCTAAGACCATCCTGCATATCAGATATTTACATGACGATTCATAACAGTAGCAACATTACAGTTATGAAGGAGCAACGAAAATAATTTTATGGTTGGGTCACAACATGAGGGACTGTGTTTAAAGGGCCAGAAGGTTGAGAACCACTGCAAACACATACACACACATACACACACACACCAGAAGAATAAACACCCATCCTGCGTGTGTGCGTGTGTGATGGAGCAGAGCGGGCACAAGGAGAACTGAGGATCGGGAACCGACCGGGCTCAGGAGCCGCGTGGGACAGGCGGGGCGACGGCAGCGCCCGCTGCAGCTCGGGGACAGCGCCTACCTGACTCTGGCAGGCCGGGCAGCGGGAGGAGTGCCCAGGGGGGCGGTAACTTCCGGCCCCGCGCCCTGACGGATTTTGTTTGGCTCCCTGGCCGGAAGTGCCCCTGCGTCGGGCGCCATTTTTGTTACGGGCAGAAGGCAAGGTTTGTTGAGGGTAAAGCATGCTCTCAGAGGAATGATTGGTCGTTGACCCTCCCTCCCTTCTCCCCCCACTCCAGCCTCCTCTTGATTCTCCTTTCGAGTTGGCACTCCTCTGCCCAGCCTCGTCTGAGCCGACTGCCAGGGCTAACTGAATGAGGGAGAGCTGAGGGGAGGCCGGGGGAGGTGGGGCTGGAGCAGCCAGACCCGCGGCATCCCCGTTTGCTGACATAAAGGAAAGCCCCTGGGCCGCTCTCTGCCTGAGCTGGGTTTCTGGGCGTGGAGCACAGCTGCGAGTGTGTGTGTTGAATTACTTTAGAGGTGAGACGTAGGAAATTGATGCATCCTTGTCTCTTGCTTCTCAGACTTTGTAGTGAGGAATCGCCCCGGGATCTTGTTAAACTGCAGATTCTGAGTCGTTGGGTTAACATCCAGGGGAGCGGCTGCTGCTGGTCTGTTCGGGGCTCAACACAATTCCTGTGGGTGTCTTTCTTTAGAGCTGGCAAGTGAGATGCAGTATTTTTTAATTCTTTATGGTTGAAAGTATTGCATATGTCTCCTCAACGGCCCCCCCCCCCATTGACCTCTCCCAGCCCATGCCTTCACCCCCCTATTGTCTGTGTCCATTGGTTTTGCGGATACGCATGCTTTGAAGTGAAGCCGTGTCATGTGAAGCCGCGTCATCTTCCTGAGCCTGTTCTTCATCTATAAAATTGGAGTACTAATAACATCTACCCTGTTTGTTGTGAAAATGGGTCAATATCATGTAAAGTGCTTAGTACAGTGTTGGGCGTATAGTAAGAGCTGGATAAATACGTATTTTTCTTCTTATGGACAAAAAAAAAGGGGTTCTGTGGAAAGTCACATCACAGGGTAATCTGATCATAAGGTCCTAAATGGGCAGGTCATGGTGGGTAGTCATGCCCCAGACCTATACTTCCTTAGTGGAAGGTTTTAAGTCAGCCCTGCCCCTTTCTTGTGCATCTCTGGTAACACACTTAGCCCCCCTGTGCATTCTCCAATCTTCCTGACATCCCTTCATTTTAAATGTAAGGAATTAAATAATTCAATTCTTTGTAAATCAGATTTTAAAATTAGGAATAGTGTTAATCTGTTGAAAAAGAAAAGCCTAGATATACTATGCCTGCCAACAATTCAGCAACCACCTAAAAACCTGCTACAGGCCCAGTGAAACTGAGGAACTATTATGTGATGACATACATTCAAAGAAACCTAAGCAAGGTTATTTAAAATAGTAAAACTGGCAAGTTTATAATAGGGAGAGTCTTTTGAGTAGTGCACAATCACCTTGAAATTTTGGAGGACAAGGGAAATGCTTTGGGATTTGAAAAGTAGTCACTCGTTGCAAGGTGGAGATAAAAACAGCAAGAAAAAAAATGACCCATCACTACTGATCACTGCCAAGAATTCTATTGTAGTACTAATAAAAAACATTCATACTTGAATTGTGGTTCAAGTCACAGAGTACAGTGGAAATGCCTGTCTTTGAGAGGAAAAAACCCAAAAGTAGTTAGAAAATTTTCTTTTTAGGTATGATTTTCCAAAGAAGTCCTTTGAGTAAAAATATAGATGAGCTACCTCAGCAATTTATAGTCAGTCACAGACTTATTTGAAAGCTGAATCAAAGCCAAATGTTTTTATTGGGACAAGCAGTCAGTGGGATGTCACTTCAAGCTGCAGATTCATCAAAAATACAAAATGTTTGTATGTTTTTAAAACTTGGATTTAATGTGTTTAGTTTCATTACAGTCTTTTTAAATTTGATTACTAATACCTGATCAAAGCAAAGCAATAAATTACAGAATTTTACAAAACCAATAAGGCATTCTTATTTAAGGTTTGTTTCCTGAAAATCAAATTCCTGGAGTTTGATATATACCAAACAAGTGTAAAAACAGAATTACCAAGAAGGCATCTGAATGGCTAGGTTAAATAGCCATGAAAAATACCCCAAGGACAAAGCTTGGATTTTTATGTAACATAGTGTAATGGAAACATTAGAACAGAAGCCAAATAACTTAGATTCCCTCCTGTCTGCTCTAATGGTTTTGTGTCCTTGACCCAACAATAACCTAAGTTTCTATTTATACAAGAAACTTAGAAAATCAGAGGGTTTAGATGAGATGGTTTCTAATTTAAACTATTATAATCTTAAGTCTTCTAAGAAACATTTGTATGCGACAGCTCTACCTGGAAAGTTATAATCAGATGGGATGGCGGTTTGTAAGAAGACAGATATACATACATGATAGAACAGTAGAGAAACAAATGGTTGGTTCTAAAAGTACGTTTTGCTGCCAACTTTTTCAAAATAAATTCCCATTGTTTTTGAAGTGGAAAAATCACAGGTTATAAATTGATTTCTTCAAGTTTATCAATACTCCTGAACAATATTGTTAGCTGCAGTTTTTATTAAATTTGAAGCCAGTGATATGCAAAATTTACCTTCTTGATACTATTTAAGAAGCTGCTTTTGAATTGTGTTGGTTGTGTCTCCCTCCTTCCTCAGAATTCATATGTAGAAGTCCTAGGCCCCAATACCTCAAAATTTGGCCTTATTGGGGATATTGGTCTTACCATAACCAACATGACTGATGTCTTTGTAAAAAGGGGGACATTTGGAGACAGACCTGCATATAGGGAGAACACCATGTGAACATGAGAATGTTCATCTACAAACCAAGGAGAGGGGCTCAAAACAGATCCTTCCCTCACAGCTCCCAGAAGGAACAAACTATGCCAACATTTTCAAATTCTAGGCTCTAAAACTGAGACAATACATTACTGTTGTTTAAGCCACACAGTTTGTGATAATTTGTTATGGCAGCCAGAGGAAACTAATATAGAGCTAAGATTATTTTACCTTTATCAAAAGTAATTGTATGTTATCTGCCAGCAACCCCTTATCGCCTAGATCTTCCTAATTCTGTATTAATACTTCAGTGGAATTTCTCAGTCAATAAATAATTGGAAATCAAAAATTTGGACATGACTTTGCAGTTGTATAACTGAAAATGAAATGTGAACAGGTTAAGCATTATGAAATGTTACTTTTTCATTGTCTCATCCCTTACCAGTTCCTCCCCACCCCCCCCACCTTAAATTCTTGAACATATATACACTATTTAATATATATAAGGACTAAAATAAAGTGAGAATTAAAAAAGACTGCCAAGAACACTGGCCTTCTAGTGTTATTAAAAGAATCATTCAGATGGAGAGCCCTGGGAATTACTGATGGGGAATGCAAAAGGAGGGTCGGGGTTGTTATTGATGGGAGTACCAGTAGACTTAATTGTATATTATGTTACATTTTAGTTTTGGTACTGCAGTACTTTAATGTCTTCATACATGAAAAACTAAGCTTGTCTTGAGTTTTAAAAAGTTAACAGCACCAATGGTTATGGAAGGAAAACAAGTCTAGTATTTTTAATACATCTGGTTCTTACCCATTCATGAAATCAGAGCACATGCACAGGATAACAGACCCCAAGAGTGGTTAAAACTATGAGCTACCATGCACTGAAAATATCGTATTTTGGATACATTCATATACTAAAAAAATGTAGCCATGCCAAAAGAATTAGA